TTTGAAACTCGAGCATACATGCGAAGGGAGTTTGACGCACAATCGACACCGTTCGGCTAATTCCAAGGTTCTCGCTCATATTTACGCATCAACTATTCAGACAAATCCCCAAACGGTATCTATACGGAGAATTATTGAACAAATGCCGGAGGAGCATGGTTTGTCGATCAGCTACAATGTGTCCCTCCGAGCAAGACACCGTGCTTTCGAAAAAGTTTATGGAGGTCATGAAGAATCATGGGGGCGGCTTCCCGGTTACTGGCACATGTTGCAGGTTCTTAATCCAGGTACAATTGTCGAACAGAAACGACATGGCGAGGTATTCCAACACTTGTTCTTTGCTCTCGGAGCTAGCATTGAGGGCTTTCAACAAGCTGGTGTCCTGGTAATTGTGATAGATGGTACCCACTTAAAAGGAAAATACAAGGGCATTATGTTTGTTGCAGCCACATTGGACGGGAATCACAAAATCTTTCCCCTCGCAGTTGGCATTGTGATGTAGAGCGTCGTGAGACTTGGAGTTGGTTTTTGACTCAATTGAGAAGGGCCTATGGTTGTCCTGCTAACCTACTCATCGTATCGAAGAGACATGAGTCTATCATATATTCTGTCCCAATAGTGTTCCCCGAGGCGCATCATTCATTTTGCTATTATCACATCACAAAACAAATGAGGCCTTTTGGGAAATCTGTCTTGGGCATATTTTACAAGGCGGCATATTGTTATCGGCGTGAAAACTTCTATCATTACTTGTCATCCATCCAAAGCCTAAAACCCGAAGCATTTAAAAAGCTAACTAATGAAATTTCGATAAATGCTTGGGCGAGGTGTTTTACACCTGTACAGCGCTATGGATTCATGACATCCAATTCATGCGAAAGTTTGAACAACAAACTCCGTTGGGCCAGGATGTTACCCGTTTGCTCGTTGTTGGAGTGTGTTCGAGCAACGATAGAGAAATGGTTTGTTGTTCGGCGTGCATCCACCGAGGGTCGCAATCATCCGCTAACGCAGTGGACTCAATTGCGGTTAGATCCTTTGTTCGAGAAAGGTCGTACTCTATCCATTACCACACTCGGCATGCAACGTTATAGGGTTATGGAAGAAACACAATCATACGTGGTAGATTTAGAGGCAAGAACATGTGATTGTCGTGTGTTTGAAACAGATCTACTACCTTGCTTACATGCATCTACGGCTATTCGATAATGTTTACCAAACAACATTATCGCTTTTTTCTTTATAAAAAAAAAATTACTATAAATATGATGTGCATTTACGATATGTAACAGAGAAGCCAGGTTAGATATAATGGATTTCGTTAATGACTATTACAAAACCTACTCAGTTGCAAGGATGTACGAGAGCACCGTTAGCCCCATCCCGCATCCAGATGAATGGCACTTACCCCCGGAAATTATGCGTAAAAAGGTAATTCCGCCAAATGATCCCAAACAAGCAGGTCGGCCACGGACTCAACGTTATTCCGCTGGAGAAGGATCATCACGTCGAGTACGGCGTCAGCAGATGTGCTCACGGTGCGGAGTCACCGGGCATAACAGGGCGAAGTGCCCTCTATACGATGGTGATAATGACTTTTTTTCAAATGAAGAAGGTCAAAACGCACCAACTCCTCATCCAAACCCCCGAGGAGATGTCGTACATGTAAAGAAACATGTCACAAATCGTCATCTTGTCTATCACGTCCAATCCATGACAATTAAGATGAAGATGGAGTTTTTAATTGTAAACCAATTTAACGAAAACAATACTTTTAACGGGAAAAATACTGTGTTGGTGCCCTAAGTTGTGACCTGCACACGATTGACTAACAAAAATTAGTGAAACTGGGTTGACTGAGCGATTTGCATAACATGTCCTATAATAATCGCACAATTGGGTTGATTGTGCGATTCCCATATCATATCCCATAATAATCGCACAACTGGGATGATTCGCCTAGTCTTCAACCGCATAATTAACGAATCGTATATCCAAATCGAAAGCCGCATAATTTACGACTATCCGCCATTTTTTTCGCATATCCATATGGACCGCATTGATTGATTGTCTGCACCGCATATCAAAATTGAAAGTGCTTCGCATATTATTCGCATACGTTACGCACCGCATTGATTGATTGTCTGCACCGCATATCCAAATAAAAAATGCTTCGCATATTGTTCGCATAAGTTAAGATTCGCATCATTTAGGATTATGCGGCATATGTTCGCATAATTTAAGATTCGCATATCCAAATCTATAAGGGTAGATAGTAGATAACTATCGATTATGCATATTGTTATTGCATATTTAAGAATCGCATATCCATATAAAACCTCGCATAAATGTATCGATATGCGAACACATTTCGAAAAAGTGTTACGCACAGCTTTTTTTCACCAAATAGTTTTTTTTAATTCATTATTAATTTAGTCAAAGACATTTTCCAAAATTTACCAACTATTCGGAAAATATGGGATGTTTGTATGTCGAAATTTTTT